TTCTTTTTCTTTTTTTTTTTTTTTTTTTTTTTTTTGGCTTGGAAACCAGAACTTTGACAAGGCTATATCTTCAATTCTGTTTCTTCAGAAATATTAGTGCTGTTTTTAATTTCCCACATCTTTTAAAAAGGCTTACATCGGAGATTTCTTTGATTTTCTTGCTTTGTTCTCACAAAGTGACATTGGGTCCTTTCCCTAGGAATCCACCAGAAACTCTAAAACTCCTTTTTTCCTTCTTTTCTCAGTTGAATGAAATATAACATATAATCAAATGTACTTCAAGCTAAAGATAATTTACATAGTTATAAGTAAATCACTGTGCATAGAATTCTCTAATTATAACATAGGATTCTCTTTAATCAACAGAATATATTTTATTTTCTAGGAAACAGAAATAAAAATAAAGTATTTATGAGTAAAATTATGTGCATTCTCACTGTTTAGAAGCAATATTTCTTCTATTATCACCTTCTACCTATTGGTTTGCTGTTGTCTCCAAGAAGGAAGCATTCATATCAGGAGAACCTTTGCAGACACCCTGCATTTCTGCAGTTGAAAGTCTCACTGTGGAGCATTTAACTGAGGGCCTCAGACCATTTCTTTAGGTCTGGGGAAAATGTCACTGTAAGGAATGGGAGTTGGAGGCCTTTCAGGTTGCAAGAATATTTTCACACCTTGGTCCCTTTTGTAAACCTTGTCTTTATTCTACGTGTCACTTATCTGAAAGCTATTTGGGGACAATAGAACACTATAGGGATATAAAAATATAGAAGTAAAGTTTCAGGTCAGTGTTATTTTTGTTCTCCTTTAAGTTAATCAGAGGACATTTTAAAAAGTGTATAATAGTGCTTAAACTTAGAGAATACTTGGATATTTTCAGTTTTAGAAATAATTTTAGAGTCATTAAATCACACAGACTCCATATTAGTCTCATAGAGGAAATATGATTCCCCTCAACCCCCTTAAAATGTCTAAACCCTTAACTGGCCTCATTTTTAAATCTTAAGAAAAAAAATCATTTGCTCTCATCATGTAATGCTGGGGAGGAAAAGTCATTTCACGCCTTTGAACACCAGCGTGCCTTTTATTTTGTCTTGCAGTGATGTTCATTTGTTTGAATGAGGCCACTGAAAATAAGTAGCTGTGGTTTTCTCAAAAGAAAGTTTTATCTAGGACATGGCAGACACTGGGGACACTATTTTAGCCATGGAAGGTTTTTTCAGTGTGATCCTTTTAATGCGCTGTTTCCTTTTCTTTTTCTTTGTCTTTTTGAGATAGAATTTCACTATGCAGTTCAGGCTGGCCTTGAACTCACTTTGTAGCCCAGGCTGGTCTTGAACATACAGTGATCCTCCTGCCCCAGCCCACCTCCAGAGTGCTGGGATTACAGTTGTGAGCCACCACATCCAGCTAATGTACTATTTCTAAAGCTTGTTTCTATTTGAAAAAATGCTAAAGACTTCACTGGACTGCAAAATCTTACTAGATTTTTAATAATCTAATAAGCTATCTCCATGGGGAAATTCTCTAATAAAATAGGTGAGAAAGTTGAATTTTTTCCCCTGGGTTTGAACAGCAGGGATTTTACCTCAGATCATATGAAAAGACATTATACAGATTATATATAGCTTAATATTTGCATTACACACATTCAGATTTTTATATCTGTATTACACGTAAAGTCTGAGTCATAATTGGCAGTTAAGGGAATAGTAGAATTTAAATTGCTGGATATAGTTGATCATTTTAAAAATGATAATTTAAAGTGGAAGGTTAATGAAATTGTGGAATAAAAAACCTAACCTGAATGATTACAAAGTCTTACAACCTTGAAGTCATTCCTCTAAATAAAAGTCATGTGGAAAAATTTAAAGACATGGCAAGCAAAGGAAACAACAGCAACCTTCAGAGGCCCCCAGATGCTGTTCACATTTTTAGGCTCTGTCCCTCTAAAGTATTTCCTATGTACATACATTTTTTATAAATTTTTAAAAGAATGCTTCATAGCCCAAATATTTTAATGCAATTGCAGACATACCCAATATGAAATATCCGTTACAATTTTTAGTTTCTATTTTTAGACACATTTGTAAAGGGAAAATATAAATATTCAGTATATAGATTAAAATGTTAACCTAGCAAGGTAGCACGTGCTTGTAATCCGAGCATTTGGGAGGCTGAGGCAGGAGCATTACTACAAGTTTGAGGCCACCCTGGGCTATCTAGAGAGTTCAAGGCTTGTCTGGACTACGCAGCGAGACCCTGTCTCAAAGAGAAAATAATAAAAATGAAGTATTACACAATAACATTAATGTGTCAAAATGCAATATTTAAACTTGATTTGTAGGATGTCAGAGGGTGAAGAAAACAATAAACCCACCAAATCTTCACTGAGTGCTTACCGTGTCCCCACCAGTACAACGAGCCCTGTTATGTGTTCACTCACTTGAGTCTTAAAGCACCAACAAACATGTCCTAATTGCTCCTTTTTTCGCCATTGACAGATGAGGAAACTTGGGCACTGAGAGGTTAAATTCCTCCTCCAATGCTACACAACTAGTAAGAAAAAGTTAGGACAGAAACCCAGGAAATGTGTCTCTGCAACTCATGGTCTACAGCAATTCTGGATATTTAATGTGCCGGTCAGGGAAGAGGGTAAAATGCTGGTCATGAGTCAGTGGGTCCGAGATTCCACATCTCTGCTAAGCCCCCACGGCAACAGGCTTCTGATCTGTGGAACACAGTCGATAACAATAATCTACACCACACCTCATCACAATACATCTATTAAGACAACACTGATTTTCTGGTATAGGCAAATTGATTTTTCTGATTTTCTTTAGCAAGGACTTGTCCTTCATTTTTCCACCTTATGTAACAGTTACCAGATTGAACAAAAGATATAAGATCTTTAACT